TAAAATCTCAGAATTAACATAAATCTCATATTTTTAACACAACAGCGCTCCTAATGATACCTGTTGGCATTACAGTCCACTGCTCTCTTGCCCATTTGTACCAGAAAGGAAATACAGTGTGTACAACTACAATTCTTGTGTCCCTACAGATCTGACTTAATACTCTCAAAATAACCCATTTTAGATTTAAGAAGTTCAGCCAGCGATAAGGCATCTTCAAGATCATGCAGCCAGGAAACAGTAAATGTAGAAAAAGGTTTCCATCCCAGCTCTCACAAACGTAAGCTGCTATTGAGAGACTAATTTCAGGCTTTAATGCTATTCTAAATCTAGAATCAACCACAAACATATGCTCTAACAGAAATCATTTTTTATATCTGATTTTTTTGAAAGCTTTATTCAAATTAGTTCAGGGAAGAGTAGAAAAATACTTGAATAAATATGAGACAGCAAAAAATGCATGCAAAGATCTAAATGAGGACAAAAAAAGAAATCAGTCTCATCTGGCTGCCCACAGCCACCCTCCCTTCCTTCTCCACAAGGAAGAGAAAACACGGCAATTGCACAGCCTCTCCCAAAATGGAATAATGTATTTGGGCTCCAGTAGGCAGAAACTCCTCACAACATCAAGCATTTTTCACATAAGGTAACGATAAACCTTTATTTAAAGATGTAAACATGCACATGCCCATACACAGAGAAAAAATCAAAGCCCAAAACTAAAAACAAAAGGCAAGTAAGGAAATAATTAGAAGTCTGGTAAACAAAATACACCCACCAGCAGCAAGGCACTGACTGCCAAACACCTTTGTCACAGCTAGAAGTAACTAAAGGGAAGAGATCGAGAAGGAGAAAGATGAAAACTAAAGGAAAAAAAAAAATTGTGTGCACAAATATATACACAGATTACATACAAATTTCACCCAAGCTGGGGAGGCAGGAGGAAAGGTCGTTTGAAGTCACCTCCACCCTCATGCTCACCCAGGGTCATGCAGTGCTTATGCCAGTACATACATTAGGAACACACATTGCCTGGAAGGAGCTGAAAGTCCACATGAAGCTGAACCTCAGACTACAGCCTTGTCCCCAGACAGGCCTGTTTCTGAAAAAAGAGGCAGCAGAACTACCGACAACTAGGAACTGTTTTTATTTTTCAAACTAACTTTTGCTGAATATTTTTACAGGGCAAAACAGCTTCTGAAGAGCTACAGCTGCCCAGCCTTTTGTGAAACACTAGGGGAGGGTTATAATTCAGGCTTGATTCCGGGGTTCATAGCAACGTTTGAGGAAAGCACCCACTGAAGGAACAACCCTGGAAATGCACTCAGAGCAACAGCGCAATCCAGGCGGCCAAGGAAATCAAAAAGCTTGTCCTGCTCTGCTTCTGTAACTCAGGTCTCCAGAAGTCAAAGCATTGTACGCTTAGTCATTATGGATTACAGTCATTGTTTTACAACACTATGTTTTATTAGAGTCAGGGAAGTATTTCTAAAGGAAGATCACAAACAAGATGTTCTCCCAGTTCATGGTGTCACCCTGGCAAACTATGCAGAGAAGATTCACATAATACCTGCCTGTAGCACTACGTTAAATTCTTTTTGATGCTATTTAACATAACTTTTTCCTACACAATTCATTCATACAAGACATTCTAGTAAGTTCTTAACAACAAAGGATCAAAAGTGCTTTTTGGGACTAAGGGGATTTATGTAAGAGAATGGACAAAAGCAGAATCAAGTCTTTCTACATCTGCCTTTCAGGTCGGTGCTTCTGGATGACAAGAGAAAAATGCAGGTTTCTAGGACACACTGTCAGCACAAGCTTTACCCACACAATCACACCAGCGGGGCTTGCTCACCGCCCCGAGCAGCTATTGGCAGCAGCCAGTGGTGGGGGGCCCAGACCAGCCCCGGCCCTCACAAACACTTGGTGGTGGTTCAGCTTAAAGACCTGTGCTCTACAGAGCAGCCTGAGAATAAACATGGGATTGGCAGGAAACCCGTGTCTGTAAATCCTCTATTTCATACAGGCTGGAGTCTTCCACTAAAGGATGGTAAAGTAAGCAACAACTCCTCATCCTGGACAACCTCAGGAGCTCTGTAAATGGCCTTCACTGGAGCAGAAGGCCAGTTCTTACAGCCCAATGCCACCCCTCCCCTGCCAGACACTTATTTTCTTCCTCCATTCTACTTCTTTGCCTTAAATCAAAGCCAGAACATCAGAGGCCAAAGGCAACTAAGTAAACCAAACAAAAAAATATTTCCCACAAAAAAAACCCAGCACCTTTGGACACCTTGCAAGCTCGCTGGGGAGTAGATCACCCACCCTGGGAGAAATGGGATGTCCCGGAGGGACCCAGCCCGTAGCAGCAGGTCCCTTGCTCCCTGTGGTGGGGCACGTGAAGATCACTGCTCACCACCCCCTCCAAGTCACACCTCATGCAGATTTTTAACCAAACAAGTCTATGTCATTGGTCATGAAATTCAAGTTTAAAGGCTGCTACTAAGCACTACGCTTCTGCTAAGGTCTTGACAAACACCTTTAATTATCTTTGAGGTAACAATGCTCTGCAACAGAGGCTTCTGTGGCTGCGTTTTGGTCCACCTGGAAAATTTAACCAGGAAAAAAAAAAAAACAAAAAAAAAACAACGAATGGGCCAG